AAAACCATTACAAGATATTTTGTTTCAAATTACTTTATTTAAAAGTCCAATAAACTTTGGATTTGTATGATAATGAAAACGAAGTACTCCTTGTCCTGTCATTTATCATCATAAACACTCATCAGCTGCAACACAATACAGTACAATGATGTTGAGACAAGGACTTGTGCTTTTGTTGGGAAGTTTGTTTTCCCCCGTTTGTGCGCAGCTTATGTACGGAACATGTTTGCGTGTGCGTGCAACCGACCACGCGTGCATTGTGTTGGCTGATTGATGACTTTTCCGGCTGCGGGCGGTGTTTTGATCCACATATCAGAGGAGGTGGAAATAGGGGAGATAACATTCCAGGARGTTACGAGAGAACAGAACGTGGGAAGTAGAGACACTAATCTAATGTTAGACAACAAACAGAAGTTACTCTAACCCACACGTCCGGTGTTGTGCTCAAGAATAATTAATGGCCTTGAAGTCCTTTTATTAGAAGAGTCCAGTAACCGTGTGTGTGCAGCACGATTTACAATGCTGTCCAGAGTTTTTAGGTTGCACTTATTTTCGCAACTTTTCCTAAACTCAACATTTAATAAATGGTATGCAGTTTGATAAACAGAATACATTTATGAGTTGCCGACGCACAAACGAGCACACACACCAGGCATATGGCACATATTTTGAAGTTGTTTCCTATTCTCTTTCTACCGTCGCTAACAGCTGAAAGAGGCAGAGACAGAAAGATAAAGAACAACGTGTTCCCCCTGTGGGCATAACTCATTTGCGGCGTGTCTTCATTAGTGCGTCGATTGTCTTACTATTTTCATCAGCGCTTGCGAAGACGCCCCCGTCAGCGGCAGCGGCGTGTGCGTGCGCCGTATCGGGGAGGGGAAAAAAAACGAGATAACTGTTCAAATAGTTTTTCAGGAAAGTTCCTCACAGCCTAACTTCACCCCTCTCACTTGTGAATCAGTTACAGGGAAAAAAACGGTTGAAAAGCATCAGAGCACTAAAAAGAAAGTCAATTCGCACCAATATCAGTGTTATCTTTCAGAGGGGCCGTCCTGGTCAACTCGCTAAAGCACATGTTTTTATTCCTGACATACAGACAGACGAGGCAGCAAAGCAAAAGCAAAAGTTTCTTTTCTCCAACACCTCAGGAGGGAGACCTCTCTCCTCCTCCTCCTCCTCCTCCTCCTCCTACAGCTTCTTTCTTCTTTACCTTTCCCACAGTCCTTTGATAAAAGTGCAGATAAAAGAAAGACTGTGCTCATCTTTCTGGCCATCCATCTCTCCTTGAGGTTAGCACATCTTTTATTATTTACTATTAGATCAGTAGCAATACATCCACACAAAGCCTTGTTCTACTAAAGCTGCTCTGTGTGTGTGGGCGCAGTCCGCATATCTTTGCTTATGTATGTCTGTATGCTTTATGCCCCTCGTGTATGTATCTGTTTGTACTCTTTGCTTGTCTGTTTGTGTGTGTGTGTGTGTATGTGTGTGTGTCCTTGGCTAGAGGCGGGTGCAGTGTGAGGTTTTTGCTGCCGTCTGAAGTCGTCCAGCCTCAGTGTCATTAGAAGATCTCTTTAATCCAGACTTTGGGAGAAACTTCTGACAGCACGCTGCAAATAGAAGGCCCCGCCGCACATGAAGAGCAGCTCAGCTCCTAACAAAACACCAAGTTTAAAGAGGCCCCTGGCCTTTTTCTTTCTTTTTTTTCCCTCTCTCCTCCCACCATTCCCTCCTTTCTTTCTTCTTTGCTTTTCTTCCCCTGCCCTCTGTTGCTTTTACTTCACCCTAGGGAAACATGCTTGCCTTATCTGTGCAGGAGGACCACCCAGGAAAGAATGACTCAGGCATCGCTGCCTCTGTGTGTGTGCGCGTGTGCGCGTGCGGCACGATAACTGCACACTCATTTGACTGAGTGCAGCGCTCACATTTTTAGAACTTGTTTTGTTAATATTGATGCGTGCCTATACCTGCACGGATCCCTCCGAGCGGTGTTTGTCGGTGCACGTGTGCCTCGCCGCTCCTTTGAGCCAAAGTTTGGAATGAAAGAAAGACAAAACCACAATTGTTGATGGAGAGGTGAAAGAGGCCTCAGAGGTACACTGCTGACCCGATCTCTTCAACCCAACCACGTGTCTCTCTCTCTCTCTCTCTCTCTCTCCCCCTCCTCCGCCTCCCTTATTTTTCTGAAGATCGTCTCTGCTTTCAGCTTTCTAAACTTTTATTCTCTCCTCCTGATGCAATCACGTTTCCCTCTCAAGGTTTTGTTTTGCAGCTGAAGATGATTTTTTTTTCTCACTCGCATAGTTACTGCTGTGTGTTTGCGTGTCTGTTCTCATGAACCATTTGATAAATTTTAATGAAACTGCACACAGGCCTTCTTCACGTTATACTGGAAACAAGCMGCGTGCTCACATTAATTTAAGAGAGACATCACGCTGAAAGGATTTTTTGTGAGCATCAATATTTTAAGGAAGCACCATCGTTGGCCGCCACAAAAAGATATTTTCCTCATTGTTTCAGCGGCATCAGTGGGACAGGTGTTCCCAGGAGTTTATTCTAACCTCACAGACTTATAGTTTCCTTCTTCTTTTTTTTTAATAAAATTATATCTGTCTATTTGAGATGGTGGAAATTCTCTAACATCATCCGTCCGTCCTGTCTGACTACAGGAAATATGTCCAAAGTCTTTATGACTCACAGAGCTTTTTCTGTTGTCAGCAGAGTCATCCCATATGATTCTATTAACCAAGTGACAAACGCTGAACTCCTGACCTCAGACGGGATTTGAGCACATCGGATGTGGAAGCCACAAGAAAGCGCACATCACCAATGAAGCCCTCTACTTAACTGTCCTTCCCAGAAGAAGCGGTTCAGAAGCGCTGCGTCACCGTGCGGGAAAGTAGACTTTGGTTTCGAAGGGGGTGCGGGGGGTGTTTTCATCTTCATCTCATACAGCAGACTCAACAATCACGCATAATGTGCCACTTATACATCAGTGTTTCTCACTGATGTTTACACTCCTATACTAGTTTAACTATGTGTCAAAATGAAAGTCTATACTTTTGTTTTTTGTATACACTTCACCACAGGTGTCAAACTCATTTTCACTGAAGGCCACATGAGCGTTATGTTGTCCCTCAAAGCGCCATTTGTAATTAACTTTGACGTGTCGTGTTTAACTTCAACTAAAATGTCACTTTCCTCGTTTCATTGCTACGGCCGAGCACCGCTAACAGTTACTCGGCTCTATGTGGTGTTTCCTGCATAGAAACGGCGTTTTAACACGTCGTCTTATAAACACTGAAAAGTACTACGTGTAGGACTGACTACATGTGAAATAAATAATTCAGAAATACTATGAAAAGTATAAATAAGAGAGTTTTACTCGCTGTTGAGTTGTGGTATGTAGCTGCCATCTTGAATTCTGAATTCCTCCTCTTTCCGATGGGAAATTCCCACTGGTTCCAGTTTAAATTCAAGACTTGCAAATGGGAAATTCCCACTTCCCAGTAAAACATGGCTGCAGCTAAAGTAGTCAGCAAAATTGTAGTGAAATAGAGATTTTACGCATCCAATTTTGTCATCAGCAGGCTACTTTTGAACCCTCTGCATCACCACCTAGTGGTGGGATGCTGTCACTTTGCGGGTAACGTAATTGACATGCATTGTGGGAAATGTAGTTTGTGGTCAATGCTGACTTTAAAGCAGCATGCGCTTATTTTAAGACATCTTTGAAGCTCTCGCAAGCCACATAAAATGCCGCGTTTAGCTCATGGGCCTTGACTTGAACACATGCTCTAAAACCTTCATCCAACGTACTGAAAAAGGATTGTGGGAAAATTTCATTACAAGAGGTGTGAGATAAATTAGCATGACAAATCTCTCTGTTTGACCTAATTGAGTTTGCTTAAGCATAATTAGTTAAATTCCAGGTGGTGGCCCAAAAAAATATCACCACCTGGATTTAACTAAGCGAATAAGTATGAGCCTCCCATTGGATCCTGATAAAACTAATAAAAAAATTCACTGCTAATAAGTTAAAGGTAAAAAATAAAAATAAATTAATTAATTAATAAATATATATACATATATTGCATTTAATATTTTACTGTAATCTTCATGTAAATTGACAAAAAATATATTTTCCATCATTGTTTAGTGTTTAATTCACAATTAAAGAAAAATAATGGTCAATGATGTGGTCTGTGACAAGATGGTGGCTGTCAAACACTTTCATTAACAGGATTACACCGGTGCAAGGCGGAGTGTATGATTCAGTGTGGAGATTTTGGCATCATGAAGTCCATCATCGTACTAAAGCTTCAGTGGGATGTTTGTCAGCTGAGTGGGCTTTAGTTCAGGTGGTCGTACAACACCTGGCCCACTCACTCAGCTCCAGTGAAGGGAAGGGGGTCAGGGGGTCGCGATGCTGTGAATATTGATTGTTGCCAGAGCCTCACACATACGTTAAGTGTAAAGTGCACACGTCACTCTCTCTGTTTTCCATGCAGACTAATCAGAGATGAAATGTCCACATGTGCGCTGAAAACATCTGGTTCTGTGTTGCACTCAGGAACTGCGCTTTGCTATCACTTACAGGGCAGAGGAAAAGGTTTTGAGCTGCACACACAGCTCCTCTTCTTATGTCACTCTCGCCTAAATGTTGGAGAAACCACAATGAATTTCATTCTTACTGAGAACACACGTCTTCTTGGCCTGCATGAAAAACTTACCAAAACTTTAAGTTTGCTCGTTTGCACGAGAAAACCCTCTTAATGAAGAGTTACTATCATGCCTCTTGTTTTGATTTGTTCCTCTCCAACATATTCTCACTTGTTTCTGCCTACATGTTTCTTGAGTTTTATGCAGCTGGAGTTTTATTCTGTCACCTGCTGAAAAATAAGCGTAGATCAGTGCCTATCGGTTTGTGTCACAAACGCGTCAACGCACACAGATCCGGAGCTGTTTTCCACTTTCCATCTGTCTCTGCTCTTCCCCAGGCTCTGCAGGAGAAGGTGGAGAGTCTGCAGAGGCAGCTGCATTGTGCCGAGAAGAAGCTGCTCAGCAAAGAGCTGGAGACGGAGGAGAAGGTAACAAAGTAGCTCATCCTCTCCAAGTTCGTTTTTATGGGTGTCAAAAAAAAAAGACAAGTCAACTCTTTACCTGCTCATAGTTGCAACTTTTTGCCCTTGTCTTTCTAGTTCCACTTCTTTTTCATCCCTGCCAGCTTTTTAACCTTCAGGTTTTTGTTAATTATACAATCCTGCCTCCATTCATGTTACTGAGCCGATCCTCCAGGGGGCCACAAAAGGAAAACAAAATATGTCCTTTCCCTCCTTTCCTCCCCTGCCCTCATCACTCTCCCATCTCACCTTCTCCTGTTCACAGTCAGCGATATGCCCCCTTCCACATTTCCCAAATTCCTTGAGATCTGGCTTCAAGAGCCTGCGCCTAGGGCCAGGAATGCCACCACTGCCTGTGTTCAAAAGGAAAGCCTCTTCGTCCACACACACACACACACACACACACACCCTGTGGCTCTGGAGAATGCCCTGTAATCAGGCTCTGTTTTGACCTTGATGCACACAGAGAAGAAAGCACTAATGACTGCGCTCACGCAGGAGGTCGGCCTTTGTATCGCAGTGTGTACACCGAAGGCATTCGTTCTCCGGTCCACCCACTGACCCTTGTACACACTTCACACACTCGTCACACACCTCGGTGTCCGGCTGTCACAAATCCTGCTGATGGGTCGCTGGTTTTCAAGAGCTACTTCATCGCAGACCCACACCTGTGGGGGGTGAGGTGTGCAGAGGGTTTCCTCTGACTGCGTTAAACTTGTCTTTGTTGATATTATTTATTTTATCAATTTTATAATAAAATGTCACTGCAAAAACTGTCCATCTTACCAAGTTTTAAAATCTTATATCCAGC